AAAAATTGGAAAAAAAATCTTTAAATAGCATTGACTGAAGATCAAGCAATTTATGAAGAAACAGTAAAAAGCAGTAGACGATTGAGTGACCTACAAAAATACTTGAACAAAATAAGTAGTTCCAGGCAATATCCCCAAAAAATGTTTTACAAGGAAAAATCCACTAGAGATGACACCAAAAAAGCTACATTTTTTAACGAATTCTTCATCAGTGTATATCAAAAGGAATCAAATCCTAACCCTCTCGCACAAAATACAAACTGTTCTCCTTCAGAAGAAATCTGTACAAAAATACACATTGAAGAAACCAAAATCGAATTCATTCTCAAAAATCTTTTAACAGATAAAGCATCAGGTTTTGATGGTATAGGTAATATAATCCTAAAAAATCGTTCTGAAACTCTGTCAAAGTTGCTCTATCTTCTCTTCCGCACATTCATTAACAAGCGGCTCTTCCCGAACTACTGGAAAACAAGTCAAGTGGCCCCAATTTTTAAAGAAAAGAACAAGGCGTCAGTTGAGTGCTACCGACCAATTAGCCTTTTATGCTCCGCCTCGAAGGTCTTCGAAAAAATTATCTTTGATAATATATACCCCAATGTTCAACCTTTTTTGGAACACGCACAATACGGCTTCCGGCAAAAAGGGTCAGCAGTACTACAAATGGTACAATTTTTGAGCAAAGTATATGAGCTCTACGATGACAAAAATGTTCAAACACTATCAGTCCTTTATCTAGATTTTTCTAAAGCATTTGATAAAGTTCCTCGTAGTATCCTACTCGCTAAACTACGGAACATAGGTCTAGGCATTCAAATACAAGACATAATACAAGACTATCTAACAGATAGAATGCAATTTGTGAAAATCAATAAAAGTTCATCAACTCTGAAAGAAGTAACTAGCGGTGAACCACAGGGCTCAATTCTTGGCCCTCTACTTTTTCATTAACAACTTTCCCAAATGCATTGAGAATTCGGATTGTTTTGGCTATTGTGACGATATGAAGATCTTGCCTACTGAAGAAATTCATCTGCAAAAAGACACGACAAATGTTGAAAAATGGTGCAAAGAAAATAAAATGCCGCTGAATGAAGATAAATGTAATCTGTTAAACCTCAAAGGGAAAATGGAAGTTACACTATTTAATACAAATGTTGATACCGCAAAGACCCAAAAAGACTTAGGTATTTTAATGTGTGACAACCTTTCGTGGTCAGTAAATGCTGAAAATCGCATATCAAAAGCAATGGGAGCTTTTTACAAAATCAAACGGAATATCTCGAAAAAAACTTCATTTAAGTCAAAATTAAACTTATACTGTTGATACATTGTACCAATCATAAGCTATGCATCGCAAACATGGTATCCGAACAAAGCAGAATTAAGACAACTAGAAAGAGTACAAAAACGAGCGACTTCTTGGATTACAAATAACTTCAAAATGAGTTATACTGAAAGACTGAAACTTTTAAAGCTCCTTCCACTCTCAATGTATTTTGATTTACACGACATATTGTACTTAGTTTCACTACTAAAAAATAAACATGACATTGATTTGAATACAATTATTCATAAAAACGAATCACGAACGAGACAAGCAACACGTGGTGAGATTGCTGTTCATGCAACAAGACTGAAAAAGTCAAATGAAAATTATTATATACGTTCTAATACGCTATACAACTACTTTAGCCAAATTGTGGACTTCGAAAATCAAGATTATGCCAGCCTGAAAATATCTCTAACAAACACGTATTGGAAATTCTTCAACAGAAATTTTGCAGAAAACAACTTGTGTATGTGGAGAATTCTTTGCTGGTGTGGAAACTGCAACCCACCGGGAAAAATTATGAACTTATAAACGAGGGTTCAAAACCCATGGAGAAATCATCCTACTACTACTACTAACCAGGGTAGAGCAAAAGATTAAGGTTTCATTGATTTACTGCTGCACTTCAGCACTCCGATAATTGATTTATTACTACTCACTAGTTCATCCGTTGATTATATTAAATTTACTGTTGATTGTCTCAACAATTTGTTTTTGAGTTGGCGAGAAAAAATCTAACTTCGGTGCGAACTCATGCAGGTTTCTGATGATGACGAAATTCGACTGAGGAAGCTCATTAACTCAGTTACTTCAGACCTAGTTGATTGCTTCTTTACTTTGTCCTGCAATCAAGCTGAAAACCCGTGAGTAGAATTTGTCATGAAGTCTCTTGCAAATACATTCGAGCGGTGAAAGGATGAAAATCAAAATTCTGCTGTAAGCAGAATGATGACGACAATACTTGGGCTTGGAGCAACACTATGTATTTTTTAGTGTACTTGTGAAAAATACAAAGAAGAATATTGCGGGAAACCAGAACAACTTATAGGCAAGAGCCGATTTCCAGACCCCGCTGGCAACTTGCCTCACTATCACGTTCTCATATGGTGTGAACCAGGTACTTTCTCAGAAAATAATTCCACACAGTGTCAAAAAGACAACTAACAACAAGCTAAAAGAAACTTTTGAGAGCAATTTACAACTCCTGGTGTCGTATGAAGACATTTCCGATTCTGATCTCTGTGTCCGCAGGCACGATTGCGAAAAAGCAATTATATATGCTTCAAAAGAGCTGAAATAATTAAATTTGCCGAACTCCTCCTTTCCCACAGAGTCAATGAAATTGGACACTTAAACTTAACCGTTCCTGTCCGGATCTGCCGTAAAATTTCATGAGCTAGGTCTTCTTGAGTATGATGACCAGGATCGTGATTGGCTTCATCCGAACACTGTGCTCAAACTTGAGAAACATAAGTATGCTGTCATAACTGCTGAAACTTAAGTGCCCACAATTTCACATTTGTTCCTGTTAACACGCTATAGTACTAACCTCTTGGCAACTAATCTACAATTGAGCTGCTCCTATTTCACGTATTAATCTAGTGGAGGAGCATGCTGAATGCAAAGTAACCGCAGGCAAAGACGGCAAGCATTCCCGTTGAGGTTCGATGGCATTCTCAACCGATATCTGTGAAACATTTCACGGAGGAGGTTGACAAGAAGCGTGAACGACCAGAGGAAAAAAAACGATTGCACTTTGCTTTCAATTACAGAAGGCAGTCATTGGCTCGAGGCTACCTCGTCACAACAAACATGTCATTCATTCATATACCTAATCTTCCGGCGGATGAAAGTATGTGAAAGTTCAAAATATGCAGCTGAACAACTTACGATGTGATTGCTTCCCAATTCAGGATTAAAGAAAATTAACCATATCTTATAAGGTGATTCTTGTAAAGTTGAATCCCGAATTCTACACCACCGCTGGCAACTTGCCTCACCATCATATTCTCATATGGTGTGAACCAGGTACTTTCTCAGTAGATAATTCCAGGTGTCAAAAAGACAATTAACAAGCTATAAGAAATTTTTGAGAGCAATTTACAGCTCCTGGTGTCCCTTGAAAATCCGCTTATGATCTCTGTGTCCGCAGGCGCGTTGCGAAAAAGCAATTAAAGATGTTTAAAAAGAGCAGAAGTAATAAAATTTGCCGAACTCTTCCTTTCACAGATAGTCACTGTAAATGAACCCTTTAACTTGACCGTTCCTGTCCCGGTCTGCCCTAAAACTTCTCAATGAGCCAGGTCTTGCTGAGTATGTTGACCAGGATCGTGATTGGCCTCATTCGAACACTGTGCTCATAAATGAGAAACATATGTATGCTGCTATAACTGGTGAAACTTTAGTGCCCACAAGTTCACATTTGTTCCTGTTAACACGCTCTAGTACTAACATCTCGGCAGCTAATCTACAATTGAGCTGCTCCTATCTCACGTATTAATCTAATGGAGGGGCATGCTGAATGCAAAGTAACCGCAAGCATAGATGGCAAGCATTTCCGTTGAGGTTCGATGGCATTCTCAACCGACATCTGAGTTCTGTTAAACATTTTATGGAGGTTGACAAGACACGTGAACAATCAGAGGAAAAAAGGAGAGCACGTTGCTTTCAATTACAGAAGGAAGTCATTGGCGTGAGGCTACTTCTTGTTCCAGCGGATGAAAGGTAAGTGAAAATTTGAAAACCTTGCTTCTCTTGAATAAGAGAGTCGGAATATATTTTAAATTCTGGGACAACCATTTGCGTATAATTGAGTTCCATTTAACTGCGAGTGTCGCCTATAAATTTTAATTACCATAAATTTATAATGTGCTGATGCTACCAACACTTGAAATGTAAGAACATTTTCAAAGCATTAATGATTTGAATATTTGAAAGCCGTAAATCCATTTAATGTTCAGCAGTAATTTATTTTAATAAATGCAGTAAATTCATTTCGGTGTCCTGTTAACTTATTGATTTTATTTACCTAATTATTTGTGCCTTCCCACAATTATAGTCGCCAGGGAAGAATCATTAAGTGCAGTAATGTAACAAGTGCTAAACACCTATGTTAGTTACTCTTGCTAAATTACCTTAATTGGAGCGAATTAGACGCTTAATAGATTAAATTGTAATTTCACTTATATTCGCTCGCTTAACTTATATTATGTCAATGACGAAGTGCTAAAGTATATTTGTTAAAAGTAAACAATAATCTGATCATTAGATCAGTAGAAAAGAGAGAGCGATAAATACCAGTAGCTCGAGAAAAGAATAGTTATAATTCAGAAATAATACTCAATTTTTATTCTAATCGAAACTTCAGACTCAAGCGAAGGTTAAGACGACATCTCAAAGCGCATCCCTGAGTTGAAGATTCAAAAGCCTAGACCGCACATCCAACATACATACTTCATCACTCTAGAACACTAAACAATACTCAACAAACAATCGATAATAGCCAGTAACGGTATATTACATTTGTTTATCAGAATTAGAAAATTGGATAAGTTTTTTTAACTCGTTTTCGGTTAAGCAATTTGTTTTCTGCCTACTTGTTTCACTTTCGCCGCAAAATTACGTTCAGCTTCTCATTTTCCCCCCAAGTTCCGTTCATTTTCTCAATTACCCGCCAAAATGCGTTCTTTTCTTTCTTTACTTTTTCACCTAATTCACAATTAAGTTCATTGTCTAGATCAGACCCGTCTGCTTGACATTCACCTAAACTTCTTTAGACTTAACTACTGTTATTCGCCCTGCAAAACTGAAATAGGCACATTTCAAATAGTTTTAGCACCATATTCATTGATTCGTACACCACGACGCATGTAATTGTTTCAAGTGCAGATAATACTTTTGCGGAATGTCAAGCGCATCATGCAAAGGCAGCAAAAGCTCAGGAGATATCGCATTGGCTTCTGGGTCCAGAGCTAAGGCCGATATGACGCAATGCGTGTGCAATGGATCTGCTTCGCCAGCATCTGCTGTCTTTTTGAAACCTCCGCTTCCCCCTTTACAGGTTGAAGCAAACATACGAGCAGCCTTGTGGTCTACCAAATAGTAGAAACCCAATATCGAAAGCGAGGCTCCTGTCCAGAAAAAGTAGCACGTGTCTTCGTCTTTTGAAGGTCGGCCATTGAAGCCTCGCAACTGACGACTGACTAACCAGGTTACCATTTGTGACTTCTGTTCCTCGCTCAAAACGTCCAGGCGTCCCATCAATTTGAGACTGGCTAAAATTGTTGGAAAATGAGAGAAAAGGTCACTAATTGCATATAAAAGTAAATACTGCGACTGCGAAACTGAGAAAGTTGCAGAATCGAGTCTTATTAGCACGACTTTCTACCATTTCCCCCATTTAACCTTTAGGCACCCTAGAAGAGACAGAAATAACAGTTAAAGGGGAGGGGGTTGGGGTGGTGATCCTATTTTTCTGGTAAAAAAAGACTGTGATGGGAGTAAAAGACGTGATAGAAAATATGCTTCATCAATCACGAAAAAAAAGGCGATATTCTTGACATGACTGTAAAACTGACCAACTGCCAAGTACAGTAGTGTATTCTGGCTTTGGCGAATAGACTGTCAGCGGCGACTACAAGTGAAGAGAGTCTTCAGATCATTTCAATAATCAAACACAGAGGTGGAGCGGAGCTTCGCATCACTTGCGATACAACGAAAGCGTATCATTGCAAGCTACTAAATGGTCAGTGAGATGGAAATAACTAAGTGGAAAAAAAAGGAAAAACTCAAAATTCGATTACCGAAAAACACGCGAGAACCACAAGCACTATCAAAGCAAAATTTTAAAATTTTCCAAGCGTCTACTGTTCCAAAAACAAGTGGTAAGACGCCAATCAATCCGAAAAAAAAGTCGCGAAGGAAATTGTCAAAAAAACAACTTTTATGGAAATACGAAAAATTCCATCTCAGAAAAACAGACGACAAGCACAACGACTAGCAATAAGCACGCTTTTAGTATAATCTGAGCGTACACTAATCCACATCATGTAGCTAGGCGCCAGTTGGCATTGAAACAAAAATACCAAACGGAAAGATTGTCGTAAAAAATTCAACATTTTTTTGGAAATACGAAAAATTCAATCTCGGAAAAACAGACGAGAAACACAGCCACTGGGTTTAAAAGAGCTCTCAGTATTTTTAAGCGTTTACTAAGCCTATAACTCGCAGTTAGACGTCAATTAATCCGAAAACAAAAATTGTCAAAGAAAATTGTACTGGAAAGAAAATTTCGAGCGACTAAGAAGTTTGAACTTTTGACCTTTATACTACCAGCCGAGCTGATTTATCAAAACCATGAAAAAAACTTTTTATCCTTATACCGATGCAAAATAAGTTCACTAAACTGACTAAACAATATCCGAAATCATTTTAAACTGACATAACAAGAGCCGACATCATTTAGGCCGAATAAAATTTCAAGCGAAAAAAATCAAAAATTATACCAGTCACGTGTAGCAATTTTGAAAAAATAGAGTCAAAGACATTGAAACTATAATGAAAACTGGTTACAGCGCAAAAAAAGTGTGGGGTGGCAACTTAGCCAGCAAACTTGTAACCCGACTGCTCAATATTTCTCGAAACTAAAATTTCAGATTGAGACACAAAAAAAAGTCCGGCCGGGAATCAAACTCTTGGCTTTCGGTTTCAAAAGCAACTGCATTAACTCCAGATTAAGTGCGATGAGGTCTTGAAAAGGCTTCCGTTCGATAATAAAGCAACATAAATTTCAATTAAAACTGTGTGAGAAAATTTGTTCAAAATCTGGTTCCCGATTACAAGACACTTGCTCTCGCCAGTGTAAAAAAAACAAATAACATCAAAAAATCAAACAACACTTTCAATTACAAAAAAAATCTAACACAAAAAAAAACGTTTCGAAAAATGCGCAAATAAGCCGACAAACCATAAGCAGATCCGAAGCAACATCACGTGGTTAGGCGCCAATTGATCCGAAAACAAAAATGCCGAAGGAAATGATTGTCATAAAAAAATTCCACATTTTTTTGGAAATACGAAAAATTCAATCTCGAAAAATCAGACGAGAAACCCAGCCACTAGGATAGAGAGAGCTCTCAGTATTTTAAGCGTTTACTAAGCCTATAACTCGCAGTTAGACGTCAATTAATCCGAAAACAAAAAATGTCAAAGGAAATTGTGCTCGAAAGAAAAATTCGAGCGACTAAGAAGTTTGAACTTCTGACCTTTATACTACCAGCCGAGCTGATTTATCAAAAACATGAAAAAAAACTTTTTATCCTTATACCGATGCAAAATAAGTTCACTAAACTGACAAAACAATATCCGAAATCATTTAAAACCGACATCATTTAGGTCGAATAAAATTTCAAAGCGAAAAAGAACAAAAAATCGGAAAATATACCAATTAGGTATTGTAATTTTGAAAAAATACAGTCAACGACAATTGAAAATATAATGAAAACTGGTTACAGCGCAAAAAATTGTGGGGTGGCAACTAAGCCGACAAACTTGTAACCCGACTGCTCAATATTTCTCATAACTAAAATTTCAACTTGAGACACTGGAAAAAAAACGTCCGGCCGGGAATCAAACTCTTGACCTTCGGTTTCAAAAGCAACTGCATTAACTCCAGATCAAGTGCGATGAGGCCTTTAAAAGGCTTCCGTTCGATAATAAAGCAACATCAATTTCAATTAAAACTGTGTGAGAAAATTCGTTCAAAATCTGGTTCCCGATTACAAGACACTTGCCAGTGTAAAAAATTAAATTACACCAAAGAATCACACAACACTTTCAGTTACAAAAAATATATCTTACGAAGAAACCTAAGAAAATGCGGCAACTCAGCCGAAAAACCATAAGCAGATCATTTTTTGGATATTAAGTATTTAAGGTCTAAAAAAAACAGGTGCTGACTGGATTTTAGCGTAATCCCTTAGCCGTCTTCTATTACCTTTCGTATCCAGTAGTTAAATTTGAATTTCAAGAAATTGAGCATAGTTGTTAACTAGAAAAAAGTCTATATTCCAGTTTGATAACGCTTGCTTAACGCATGCATAAAAAGGACAGTCATTTCATCAAAACTGACCTAATGCTAAGTAAGTGCATCCTGCATGTGCCTCCCCAGCTGGTCTTTGACCGAATGCTCCTCCAGCTGGGTTGAGACAGCTGAGGATAAAGTGGACCACTCTGTCAGTGTCTATCCGTGAGAAGTCATTGAGGATGAAACAAATGGCAACTGCAGCATACACGAAGCGCACATCTTCCTCGCCCTCATGCATTGTACAGCCTAGATACAAGTATTTTTTACTCAATCTATCTTCAATTTTTGAGCATCAATTTTCTCCTCTATATTCTCCTTGTGATATAATATTTATTTATGCCTACAGTCCTTTTGTTTTTGTTTTCAGTGACAATAGTAGCCAGCGGTCAATTTAAATCTATCTTATCCTTAATTCTGCATCAAAATTGAAAGCAAAAAATGCTTGCATCTCATTTTGACAAAAAAAAATGATTGAGACCAAAATCTGAATAAACTAATGCACTAGTCTCAGAAAATGCCAATTGCTAACTAAAACATCAATCAATCTGAAACGTACATACTGAAGCATCCAGACTTCTGTTGCATTTGGGCAACACTCTTTAGAATCTCTTCTCTTTTCACTCTCTCCAAGTCATCCTCCAAGCAGATGAGAGAAAGCAGAGCCGCATGAGTCATAGTCAGGTGGGATCCATCGTAGCACCTGCTTATACATGGCAAAAATGTCTTCGAGCCTTCTGATGATTTTGACTTCTCATTTGGAATCATCAGCCACTCAGAAGGACGAAAACCCCAGTCGAGTTTGTCACCCTACATTATTAAGACTATCATCAGAGACAACAATAAAGAAAATTCAGTCAGAGGTATTTTGCATAAAATTATCTATTAAGGCAAAAATTGTTCCTTAACTGTTACGCAGAACTCATCGCCAACTTACTTCATCGTCGTGATTCTCAATCTGCAGCATATAGAGCCAGTCTATCAATTTCTGTCTGGATCCTGCGGCCTTGTGACACAAATTCAGCATATTCATGCTCGCACAACTTGATATGGTGAAGAAAATGACAGCCAGCTTTTGAAGTTCCAGACTACGCAGTCTCTCAGGCCACAGAGTGAGGAAGAAGCTAAGGAAGCGGGCGTCGGACAGGAACGTATCAGACAATTGCACATCTTCAGATGGTTCGACTAAGTGATCACCCGAGTGCAGATTTGTGTGAGCATTATCCACTGTAGCACCATTTGCTACAGGTGTCATTTTACATACAGACACTAAAAGGACAGTTTTTGGTTATATATCCCATTAAGCTTGTCGGATGCATTAATGTTCCGTGTAAATAATCGTCCTCCAATTTTTCAATTGAAAAATTTCACAAAGCTAAGCTTATGATGGTTTTCAACATTTCTCGTATACTTTTTATAAGCTACGCATTCAACAATTTCTGATTAAAATTGATCAAAAGTTCCGTTCCGTGCAAAAAATGGATTTAGGAAAATGCCATTTTATGAAAGCTATTAGAACTCTCCTATAAAAAAACGCACAACTTGTGCGAAACTTCAGAAAAACGACAAGCGTAAATTAAAAATATTGATTTATACCAGAATAGAATGGCGTCATTTGCTTTTACAAGCTATAGAATTTTAGATAAAAAAGAACGATTTATTAATAATTTAATAACTAAACTATTCCTCTATAAATAATCAAACCACAAATGTAACTTCATATGGTTCGACATTTGTGGTTTGAATATTTAAAGGAAAGAAAAAAGTTATTTTTTCAACGATTTGTTCAATAAAGTTATGTAGCACCGAAAAACTATTTTCTCATCGAGTCAATTGTTCCATAATTGAAATAGATCCAGACTGGTATCCAGATCCAAAATGATTCCAATGATTCAAATTGTGGAACAACTCATACAAACTGTTCCGCTGGTCAAACCCTTTCTCTTTCGGCATGACTGCAAAATAGGCGTCGTAGAACTTGCGCGAAAAACCACCAAACATAGTCGCTATTCCAAAATCAAATTCGGAATGACCATAAAAAGAGCCAGGGTCATAAATGATAGCTTCTGTGTCTGTTTCACCCACATTTCCAGACCACAGGTCTCCATGCAGAAGGGATGGCTTCAACTGAAATTTAAAGGGAGTAGATTTTTATAGGTGGCGTTCTATTTAGTTTAACTTTTCTTGCTCTAAATAATGGATGAAGAAAATTTCTGAAAACAACATTGCAAATTATTTTTAATAGTTCAATAGATAGTCTATTACTGAAGAGCTCTACTACTGAAAAATAAATTTTTACTATCTAATTAATCTTCTTAGCTCTCATAAATCACACAGAAGACCCTATTTTTACCAAATTTTCTGCACCGCAACCAAATTTTAAAAAAACAGGCAAAAAAAGTTTTTTGACACTTTTTGGAAGGTTTTTTGGTTCCCCCTCAAGTGTGTAAAGACACCTTTAGAAAATTGTAGTCTGTCAGCCAAACATGGATGCCTCAAAATTGTGCCAAGGTGGAAACTTTCGGTGATCAGAGGTCGAATCGCGGGGGGGGGGGGGGGCGGCGTCCGCTCCCTTTAAACCCGGTACTGATTGTAGCAAAATCAAGTGTGAATTATAAAGAGGCTCTGAAATACAGTTTCTTGTACGCGACACCGACTGTATCATATTCTTTCAGCTTTGAGGCTCACTGCAATTCAGAATCCGCACTGAATTTTGGTCAAAACTATGCAAATTTCGCTTTTGTGTGTGTATATCGTTTAAATAAAATTTGGTTCAATAAAAATTACTTCGATATCTTTGAAAAAAATGGGCATCTTTCGAATCAGCAGCTCATACAGATTCCTCAAATCACCCACATTGTTCGTTCCACGCTTGTCCATTAGCATATCAACTTGCGGCTTAATTCTGTTCTCGGCATAAAATTGAATCCAATCTGATTTCCACGTATTGTCTAGAGGAAGAAACCCACAACACGTCGTATCTTTGAAACCGAACTCTTTGACTTCCCCATTTGTTATATTAAATTTATGCATCTGAGCTAATTTAGTGCCAAGTTCTGCTTCTTTGCGGCGCAAACTTTTCATATCTAGATGCTCAATAAGAATAGCTGATCCAGATGGTGACTGAGAAAAAACAGACACAGGGTGAGGAACTCTGATCGTGTTTGTTTTTTCAATTTCTTCTAAACTAATAAACTCCCCTTTGAACATAGTGTGTGACCCCTTCTTTTTGTTGTACTTGAGGTAAAATCTCCCCTTGTCTGTGTCATAAGAGCGCCCGTTATTAATGCAGCCTCCACCTGAATAGCTGGTGGGTTTAACATACTCGAATGATAACTCATTCTTAAGGAACTCTTCCATCATTTACAACGTCTGAAATCAGATTTTAAAAGAGTACTCGGTTCCTGTGAAGTTGACGTAGAGTTCCGAACAACAATCTTGATAGCAAAAAACTCTACAAAAATTGAAAATAACTCCTAGACAGTAGACAAAGTAGTAGCAAATCGTGAGCAGCAAAAAAACTTCCTGTTTTTCAAAAATTCCATAATAAGGCTCTTTCAATTTAATTGATATTGAAAAAATTAAACACAAACAAACCAAAATACAATTTCACCCGTTCAAAAAATAAAGTTCTTTTTATTTAATTCGCTATTTATAATTCAATTTTGATTCGAAAATCCAAACCAAAAAACTAAATTAGTGCGTGAGACTCATTATCTCTATATCGATAGATCGAATTCAAGAAGTAGCTGAGTTTTTAAGAATTATCGATCTAGAGATAATGAGTCTCACGCACTAACCACTCAGTCACAAATAAGGCAGAGAACAGATGCTATGAAATTTCAAATGCTATGAAACTTTCAATGCTACAGATCGTGATCATAGCAAATGATACAGATCGTGATCATAACAAATGCTACAGATCGCGATCATTTCATAGTAAAATTGAAAATAAGAAGGTTCGTACTAATACACTACGCTCGCAAGCTCGCTAGGCTAAAAACTAGATATGTAACTAGAAAAATACAATAAAACTATACATTTTCCAAAATCCTCCCTCTCATGCTCAAATTCAAATATAAACGCAAAAGCAAAGCAGTGCTTTACAACATTTGCAACGTGACGCAAGCATAGTATTGCAAGCTAGCGAATAAAAATTGGGACGAAAATCGCTTAAATTAAATAGAAAAACTCAAAATCGGAAAAACAGTCAAGAAACACAACCACCTAGATTAAATAAGTTTTGATTAACCGAGAGGCTACTAAGCTGGCAAAACTTGGGTAGATGCTAAACACAAAGAAAGTTATGAACTTAAAACGTGGAGCTTTTATATATCGTCCCCTGAAAGACTCAAAATGATAAATATCAAATTGTGCCCCTCAAACTATACACACTAGACTAAAAATTAAACAAAGATTTTTAACTTCCGAGTTGGTGAAATTAAAAATAACAGAACGAATTCATTATAAGTCAGAAATGTATAACCAGAAGCACAATCCATGCTTCAATTATGTAGCCGACAAAATATAACCAGAAAAACCTAATTCCGACTTTTCAATTTTTCCCAGAAATTCAATTTCGAAGTACAAATCATTTAAAAAAACAGGTACAGCATGCTTCGAGCTCGAAAACTTAGGTTGCAAAGCTAATGATCTCTAGACCAAGTGAGAAGAACCCTGAAAGTTGTTGAGATTCAATAAAAGCAAATTTACTATCTTACAGATTTGCAAGAGTTGTGTATGGGGAAAAAAACTAACACGCGTCTATTAACGCAATACTTTTAAAAATTAAGGAAATTTCAGCCCAAATTGTCAAATTTTAATGCGCCCTAACTTTTCGCGAAATAATCACACGTGAAACATAATTTCAATTTTTTTGAACTAAGCATTCACATCACGTTCTTACTGTGAAAACTCACTTTAATCATCACCATATAATTGCCTCTGCTTTAAAACAAAAATATATAGCACGTTAAAACTTTTACAACTTCAAGAATCTACTATGATAAAACTGGGGGTCAATGAAACTTTTTTAAATTTTGCTGCGAAATCTAAAAATTAAATGCATTTTCGAAACGAAAATCGTTTTTGTTTTTTTTGCGCCATATTCTCTTTCTAATTAGAGAGCGTAAATTGTCTCTTCCTTTAACCAAATGATTTTGAATTAATCTTAACAAGAAAGCGCAAGTAAAATTGTAAAAACTCTAACTTGAGCGAGGCCAAACTTGAAGTTTTTTACTGAAAAAAAAGCATACAAAAATCCACTGCTCATGTATCTTCAGTGTTCTTCATCATTGTAGGTGAATGTATTTCCAAGTAACTTTGCATAGCGTATGTGCAGCAAGAACGCTGATATTTACACTTTGATCATTTTATTAAGTCTTTCTATCAAAAAATGATATCCAAAATTAAAAAGACTTAATATGAATTAAAATGTTCAGGCCAGCTTTTCTTGTGAATAAAAGAACGAACTAAATTCAGAATTTGATTCTTGAACAAACTATATTCAAATAAAAAACGACCCCGTTTAGGGTTTCAAATAAAGTGTGGATCAAAACACCTGAGCCCAACATTGACGGCAACGGTACAGGAAGAATATAACAAAGCTCAGCACCGAGTATCACTTCATTGCGGTAAATTTCTCTATTTTGAAAACCTTTTTTCATGTTGAAAAAATTCTATGTGTAGCTTAGCTATCTCTTTGGGAAACCGCATCTGATTTCTCTTTTTGCGGACCAAGTGAACAATATCTCCCTAAATCAAATGAAGGAGGCAATTGTTCACTTGGTAAAAACTAATATTTTGGCCAATCAGATTTGAGCAAACAAGAAGCAGGTCTTACGGCTTGAATTTGCCATTTAATTTTAGGGGTGAGATTGTTCACTTGGTCTCATCAGGGAGGAGATTGTTCAAATGGGCCCTTTGCGCTAATTACCCGAAATCTATTACTACGCAATGATAAGAAACAGCTGAAGAATCAAACTTTGCTAGAGGAAACTTTCAATTTGGGATGTGAAATTCTATCAGACCTGATTGGAATAAAGTATAAAACAATAATTTACTCGTTTATATGTACATTAGTATATAAAGGCATTAAAATTCGAAATAGATTGAAGAGATAGAAATTTTGTTTCACCGACAGTTCGATGACCGACAGTTTTTGTTGCAATAGAATCTTAAGCCTCCAAAGACTTCGCAGCCTCGTGCATTAGCGCATTAGAAAGTATTTCAGTTTTATTTCCTTTTCCAAATTCCGCGCTTTTTGCCATCAAGCTTCTGGCTACATCTTCGACCCTGATTTGGTTCCAAGTTGGCTTAAACGCAGTTACCGGTTTCATTAGTATATGCCCCAGTTTCTCGACTCCACGTGACTTCTCGCCTCTGAGCAACAACGCTGGTCTGTGGATAAACAGCTGGTCAAAACCCAGTTGGGTTAGCTCGTGTTCTACTTTTCCCTTCGTTTGCGGATACAAAAACATACTGTCTTTGTGAGCTCCCTGAGAAGAAACGTAATTCAACTGTTTACATCCGCACTCTTTCGCTATTTTAGCTGCATTCATAGTGTATTCGTAGTCAACCTAAGCGAAGCAGTTACGGCTACTGAGCAGAAATGACAAAAATTACCAAAAATTGTTCACTCATTAGTCAGTTCAATTCAGTTCAGAAATAACTTTGTCTAAGCCTAGCAGCAAAAATTTATTCTGAGACAACGAAAGGATTATTTTACAATGTTTAAACGATTCAATTTCTGCTCAATGGCTGTAATGAGACCTTCACAAATCCGTCTGCGCCAGCCTGACCTCTAGTAGTTCCCAATGTCATAAAACCGACAGCACAGTCCTTGAAAACATCACGCGATTGCTCCAAGTTGTCATAGTCCACAACAGCTTGTTGAAACTTCGATCGTGGATCATCTTCTCCTAATTTTACTTCTCTTCGTCCAATAAGAATAACTTGTTTGAAATGATTATTCTTTGCCAGCTCCTTGGATAACGCTTCGCCGCATGCTCCCGTCCATCCAACAATGAAAGCTCGTAGTTCATTAAGCGAAGTCATATTAATATAAGCATATAAATATATCTAAAACTTTGACCCGATGAGAAAAGGCTTCAAAAAAGTTTTTTTAAAACCGAATTTCAATTAATTTAATGAACAAACCAACTATTGAAAGTTTACACTAGCTTAAACCTTCCCCTCAGAAAACAACATAAAAGCGAAAAAAAATAGGAAACGAAAAACTTCTGTCTAGGTTATTCTACAAAGTTTTTTGTTAGGAACTAAGTTTCGAAAAACTCATCTTTTTCCCTTGTTAACTAGCAGATGGAAGCTTACATCCAGTAAAAAAATTTTAAAACGAATTCCCAATTACACAGCCATTTCACAAGCAAAACGAAAACCCAAAATACGGCCATCAAATGAGAAACCACTTCTTAAACGCTTTGTTTTTCATTATTAGCTCATTGAAGCCAATACAAAGGGCAGTATCAACAAACTGATTGAAAATTACAGAATAACTTCGAATCAACAATAACTATGGCCCTTTCAAAGGTATCCAACAGATGATTCGATCCCATCTGGCGCCATACAGAAGTAGTAAGTGATAAGTTTATCCTCTAGAAACGCGATATCACCTTCAATAAAAATTTCGCCTAAATTCCATTTGGAAAACTTAAGCGCTGAATTAATCCGCAGATAACGCTAAAATTGAAAAGTACAAAATCACTTAAAATTCGAGTGACAAAATCAGTATCTTTAGCTAATGAACTTTAATTGAACTCCAGAGTCGGCCCACTAAAAGTCAAATTTGAGCGAGAACACACTTTAGGACTGATTTATACAAAAACAGAAAAAATAACAACACGACACATATAGTAACTCATCAATTCGTTCATTAATACTTGAAATCAAAAATCATTTGCAATAAAAAACTGAAGAAATTAACGGGCTTCACTTCTTAAATTTTTGTTAATGTAGAGCGTCTTTTGCCTTCGTTACAAATAATTAAATAAAGAGACCTTAGATATTTGCAAGAAAAAACAAAAACTTTACGCGCTTTTTAAGTTTTTGTACATGGAGAGAGTATTTTTGCCTTCCATACAAATAACGAATTTAGAATGTTTAAGAGCTTATAATCAAAAAAACCACGACCTAAACGTGTTTTTTTGACATTAATTTCATTAACCTATAAATTTCGTTTTTTGGGCAGACGCGACATGTAAAAATTTTAATTCTGCTGGCAGTTCTGAAAATTTAAATCCTTTTTCAAAACTAAAAGTCGATCCCATTTTTTTGCCCTTTACACTTTGGCTGTTCGATAGTGGAGTTTGCGTTCCTTTCAACCAAAATAAAAACCAGGAAAAATCGAATTTGAGCGTGAAGTTTTTCCTGGAAAAAAAAACTTAAAAAGATCGAACCTATATAATAAGAGTCTGACCTACCTTCATCGACTCTCAAAAACCTTTCAATATAGCCAACAGACAAATGGAAAAAAGTCATGAACACAAAGAGAACAGAAAAATACTAACTCTAAATTAATGAAACGTAAATTACGTGAAACTCTTGTGGCAAACTTGATGTTTAATTAGACAAGTAAACATTTTAGACTTTTAAATTGTGAGGATTAGGAAAAAAATCAGACCTACTTTAGTTGTCTATGCAGGAGCGGATCTGTCTTCTCCGAAGAGGACAACTTTCAAAAAAGTTAGCTCGCCCGAATTGGTTTTTAAGTTCTCCCAAAACTCAACAAAAACAGTATTGTGTCAAAAGTTTCTGCAAAACAGCTTCAATTTTGAAGCACAGTGACAAAGCGGAGCTTCACATGACTAGCGATCCAACACCAACATAAGAAACATAGAAGAGTAGAAAAACTGAAAAAAAAAAAAAATCAAAGTCAACCAAAACTTAAATTTTCGTATGTCTCGATAAAAGTTCATTTTACGCAAGCACGCCAGACATTTGAATATTCAATTAGCAACGGAACAAAACTTAGGCAATTTATGAGCAGACAAGTTGTGCCGAAATAAAATATGATTTTATAAAAAAATCTTTAAATTCTCAACTGAAAAAAACAACGAACAACACTTACACTTGAAACTGCAATTAAAGTTGCTTACAGCACAAGAAAAATCAGTAATGTGGCAACTAAGCCGACAATCTTTGCGCAAAGAAGTTGAACTGAAAAAAAAAAGATTTTATGAAAAAAAAAATTGAATTTCAATTCCCCCATTGGAATAATAGAAATTGGAATAAACAATACTTGGACTTGAAATGGACGTTGAATACAGCACAAGCAAAATCCGTGATGTGGCAACATAGCTGTCAAAAATTGAGTAGATAATAAACAAAGTCAATTTTTCAAATTGTTCAACGTTTTTTTCAATCGAATACATACTGAAAAAAAAAACAAGTCAGACCTAGACTTGAGCCCCCAGATCTTAAGGTCTAAAGACAACGGCGTTGCCCCTAGTCCAAGTGGGAAGGACTCTGGTAGATGTTAAGAAAAAAGAACTGAATAAACATGAGAAGAATTTGTAGGAAAAGTCTAGTTCCTGATTACAAGACACTTGCTCTCGCAAGTGTAAAAAAACTGCAATTTTAGGCTTTTTATCTGCACGCTCCTTCCTTCTTATTACGCCAAATACGCCGTAAAATTTTTAAGGGCTTTTTAGGCGAAAACTGTACATGTAAAATAGTACCACAAGACGACCTTTTGAGGTCTATGGGTCCAATCGGTGAAGGACAGGCCATGTTCCCTCTAATTCCGACCGTGTCTAAGTGATACATGATTTCGCGTGTAACACCCTTCCCGACGTTTTCTCACCTGGTGGTTGATCGGGAAAATTAACTGCTAAATTGGTTCTTTGATGCCGAAAAACAACTGCTCAAATTGGTCAGAAAGTGACATAGCTTTTGGGCGACCAAACATTTTGACGATATAACTTATTTGATTAAAATTTCTGTGCCATCGTCAAACTTTTGAAATACCAGGCCAAAAAGTACAATTTCAGGCAATTTTTGAATATTTTGACCCAAAAAATTTTGTTTATCGGCGCGCGCTCTCCCTCACAGATAATATATTTAAAGTCGAAGGCGCATTTAGAAAAGTTCTAGGGTCAGTCAGGAACATTTTAGGGTTAAAATGGATTTCTTAAACGACCAGTGTTAGGATTCCCTTGAAAAAATAAGTGACCAAAAGTCGAGCAGCTTGTCTAAGACTATTTTTAACGCAAGAACGGACCAGGGGTAATTAAATAATTAAAGAGAAAAGAAAGACAGCAGTATACAATACATATCGTAGAAAAGTTTTTAAATTTATTTTGCATCTGCATCGTAGTTTTTGACCAGGAAAGACTTTGACAGACTTTTGAACGTCTTGAACATGGGGTGTGCACAGCTAACTGTCAAAGTCAAGTTCTAAAATAGAATACTGATTCTTCAAAATCACATAACGCCAAGTTAACTTCAACTATAGAGAGTTGCAAAAAGTTCGGACAGACAGAATTAATTAAAAAGAGCAACTGTCTCTAGACATCAACGAAAAATAAAATAGAAAAAAACAATAGCGTCGAAAGTTCTTGAAGCAGATTTTTCGCGCAAAACCTATAACCACCGCGGGCACTTACATCCGAAGCGTCAAATAGTAAAGCTTAAAACAGGAAAATTATTGCTCAGGGTGGCTAAGGTTTTTCTGCGATTAGTTTCCAACTTATGAATCATCTTCATATCCGTTTGTTTTTTTCTGGGCAGCCTGATCTGTTATATTTTGTTGTTGAAAATGACTCCTTGATATATTTAGTAAGACATCATAAACGGTAGATTTCAATTTTTCAGCTAATTTTGCTAACTGTTTTATAGAAAAATATGGAATTTCATCGCAGTATTTAAAAATTATGATAGTATAATCATCGGATAATCGACGACCACGCAGTTTGAATTTGGTCTGACAAAAAAATCACGGTTGCTGGGCTTCAGATTTTGCATGCAAAAAAAACGTCGAAAAGCACTGATTGTTCATTTTAATTAATTCTGTCTGTCCGAACTTTTTGCTACTGATTAAAGCATCTCCAATGATCAATCAGTTCGCAAAAAGTTGGTTGTTGATCTGATCAAGCTATTCCAGTTTTTCTAAGCAAGCTATTACAGCTAAGAAACTTGGAAATATTTTACGTCATTTCATGAAGCGAATCGGTCATTTCAATCGCGAATTTGTAAGCAAGCTAATAAATTTAGAATCGTTTCATGTCGTTTAAAGAAGCAGGATTGGTTCACGAAAAAAAATTAGTTTTTCTAAGCAAGCTATTCGTCATGAAACTTCGAATTATTTCAAGTTATTCCACAAAGAGAATCGGGTGTCGAAAAAATCTATTGAAGCCATTCAAGCGATGAAACTTAAAAAGAATTCAAGTTGTTTCTTGGAAAAAATAGTTTTGCGAAAAATAAATATTTTCTGAACAAGCTAGTCTAGCAATGAACACTGAAAAAAATCTAGTTTGTTTCTTAGACCGTATGGTTTTGCGAAAACTTATAAACTTCATATGAACTCTATTCAAGCCATGAAACTGAAAATTTTCAAGTTATTGTTCTTCATCAAGCCATTCAATCTAAAGAACTTTAATATTTCAAGCCATTTCATAGATCGAATCGGTTCACGAAAAACTTGTTTTTCTTAAGCAGGCTATTGAATCTATGAAACATTTCAAGCTATTTTATAGACCGAACCGATTTCAAACAATTTTGAGTTTTTCTGAGCAAGCTATTCAAGCTATGAATTATTTCAAGTAACTTCGTAGATCAGCTATTCACGCTATGAATTATTTCGAGTAATTTCGTAGATCATATCGAACCATGATAAGTTAAAGCTTCTAAGCAAGCTATTCAAGCGATGAAACTTTGAAATATTTCAAGCTACTTCATCGCGCAAATCGTTTTGCAAAACGTTTTGTTTTCTATTAAAGCTATTCAAGCTACGAAACTTCGAAATGTTTCAAGTTTTTGCATGCAAACTAATCAAGCTATTAAACTTAGAATTCTTTCATGTCGTTTAAAGACGCAGATCGGTTCACAAACAACTCAAATTTTTCTTAAGCAAGCAATT